GATTACAGTTTTCCATTGCTGTAAACAAATTATTTTTATACATGGGATGATCTTTGACCAAATAATCTACTTTGGTATTAAATCCTTTTTAAGTCCTTTGGAAGTTTTCTTCAAAGTAATGAACATAATTTTGAGTGTTCACTCCATCTTCGCTCTATTGAATAATATGTTAAATAACTTCAATTATTTTCTGCTTTTATCCCATCTTATGAGATAGGTTTCAGGGTATTGGTGAATAGTAAAATATTCACATTTTGAAATAAAAACTTGTGTTTGATAATCTTTCCAGGAAAACCATTTTTTAGTAAAACCATAATTTCCCCACATATAAAAAATTTACTCAGGATGCTTATGGTAACTTAGAAAAAAATATTTAAATATGTGCTTAGTCCATCTGTATTCAAAGAAACAAATGCTAAGTAGAACAGTTATTTATTTGCTGAATAGAAGTGCATTCTTAAGATAGAGCCTCAAACAGGATAAAATGTATAATTTTGAAGATACCTCTTTGTAAAATGAAGGAAGTTAGATTTATCCATTCATACATTGCCAGTTGGATGCATTTAAACAAAGTATTTAAGTCTGAATTTAAGCAAGGCATTTAAGTATGAATTTAAGCTTGCATACTTTGCTGAATAGCAACCATAATACATACTTGTCTTTCATTGTTTTTTTCTTTTTGTTTCCAAAAGGCAAAGCAATTTTCCCTAAACGTAAAACTATTCAATTCAACAGTATCAAAAACCTTTTCACTACCTACCATAAAAGCATCCAGGTCCAATTTATTCCTTGATTCCTAATTAAAAACCAGGCTGTGTAGTTACCTGTTTGTTTTGTAGGAGCTCTGGAACAAGATTTCATTGCTCCTAAAGAAATTAAAAAGCAATTTTGACTAAGTATTCTACTGCTACTCTATTCCTTAAGAGAGTTTAGCAGGCTCTCTTACCATGTCTGGCTAAATCTCCTGGCTAGAATAGAAGCAATAGACCCACTTTTTGTCCCTGGCATAAGGGGTAGAGTACAAACCATCCCAAAGGTGATGGTAGGAACAAGATGTTCCTGCAGATAAAGAAAACACATGCAATAATGTAATTGGAGATGCGGGGGGACAGAGGGATGGGGTTGGGAGGTGATGATTAATGATTGGGACAGCAGTTCAGGATATTGCCTTTTTGGGAGAGGGAGGTGCAAAAATAACCACTGGTATAACAATGCCACGTCAGCTAGCTCTGCTCAGGGCACAGAGCTGACCTGTTATGTCTCTGAGCCTATGGACTGCACTTGTGACTGACCCCTGTACTTATATGGAAGCTATCTCCTGACATTTTTCATCCCTGACTTAGATGAATAGTTCAGGTCATATTCTGGTTTCAAGTGGAAGAAATTGTGCCACATGGCAGATTCCTTTCTTTTAGGGACACTTTGACTTATTTTTTTAGAATATTTCCTGTCAGGCCTGGACATATGACATATTCATGCTGATGTAAATGGCACTTACACCAATATAAGAAAAAAAAAGGAAAGTTTACACAATATAAAGCCCTACACCTAAATTATCCCAATTTTCCAGTCTATTTCACTACTACCAGCTTAGCACTGGTACTAAAGAGTGTATATTTTAGTATGATATCTAAATAACCTATTTAGTCTTTGTCACAAGCCAAAGGTGTGATTTTTGTTTTGTGTGTGCTTTGGCACCACTGAATTACGTTCCCGCTAAATTGCAGCTTCTTTGCACAGTGGAGTTTTCTGCTGCAGAGGAAAGCCCCGGTGCAAAAGAATTCCCGCCAATTTGTAGCTTTCTTTGCAGGGTGCATTTCTTTGTTGCAGCACAGAAATGCTCGTTGCAAAGAGTTCCCGCCATTCATATTCTAATTCGAGTCCCATTATTGGCTTGCGTGAAATTATTCACACGTGCTGGCTAGCGATTGGCTTGCTAACCATATAAAAGGCTTGAGTGGTTTCCGCCCAAGTTGGAGGACTCCATGAACACCAGGAGGAGGGATCTTCACGCTGTGTGAAGATCTCTAAGCGCTGCGGAGCCTATTGGACCCAGTGCATTTCAAGCAGGCAACAGGGGTCTGATCAGCCTCTAGCCTCTCCCCGTCACCGATCGCAATCCTCGACGTATCCCTCTCCCTGCGCGCAAAAGGATCCACGGAGCCTCGACAACTCCGTGGGAGTGATCCGAGTATTGTCTGAGTCCTCAAACAAGGATTTAAGCGGAGCTGTGCCTGGGAAACTGTCCAGCCTACTCCACGACCATCTTCGGTGTAAGTAAACAATCTTGAATCAACCATTATGCATCCGTGCCTAATTACAGCGTGTTGCCTGTTCTCTCTGACCCAGTGTGCCCGGGCTGCTGGCCACAGCCCGCACGGCGCGAAAAAGGGCCCGGACCGCTCCCGGCCCACACATGGCGACGAGGATGGGATCAGGAGAGAACACGCTAGAGCTGGAATTAGTTAAGAACTGCCCTTGGCGCGATAACAAACGCCAAGTGAAAAGTTTTGAGCTGGAGGCGCATATCGCTTACCACCAGGTGGGTGGAACGGGTGAGAAATTTGTCAGTGGACGCCTTTCGCTGAAGGGAGAAGAAGGAGTCTCTGAAGACGGAGCCCCGAGAGAGAGAGAAGTGTATTTGCTCCCTG